GAGGAATAGATGATTGATCGGATGGATGGATGGATGGATGGATGGATAGATAGATAGATAGATAGATAGATAGATGACAGATAGATAGATATGGATGATATAGATTATATAAAAATCTAGATACAGAACTAGATAGATAAATAGAGTGTATGGCTAGCTGGCTAGCTGGATGATAAACAGACAGAGGATGGGTGACATAGATTATATAAAGATCTAGATCAGGGGTCTTCAAACTTGACGGCTTTAAGACTTGTGGACTTCAACTCCCAGAATTCCTCCTCCAGTCCATGTTAGCTCAGGAATTCTGGGAGTTGAAGTCCTCAAGTCTTAAACTGGCCAAGTTGGAAGACCCTTGTGATAGATGACGGATAGATGGACAGATAGATAGAGATGGATGGGTGGGTGGATGGATAGATAGATAGATAGATAGATAGATAGATAGATAGATAGATAGATAGATAGATAGATAGATAGATATGGATGAGGAGACAATAGACAGACAGACAGACAGACAGACAGATGATAAAATTCGGGAGTCTTTAAACTTGACAGCTTTAAGACTTGTGGACTTCAACTCCCAGAATTCCTCCAGTCATGTTAGCTCAGGAATTCTGTGAGTTGAAGTCAACGTCTTAAGCTTGCCAAGTTGGAAGACCCTTGTGATAGATGATGGATGGATGGGTGGGTGGGTGGATATGGATGGATAGATAGAGATGGATGGATAGAGATGGATGGATGGATGGATAGAGAGATAGATAGAGATGGATGGATGAATGGATGGATAGATATGGATGGATGGATGGAGAGACGATAGACAGACAAACAGATAGATGATAGAATTCAGGGGTCTTCAAACTTGACAGCTTTCAGACTTGTGGACTTCAACTCCCAGAATTCCATGTTAGCTCAGGAATTCTGGGAGTTGAAGCCCACAAGTCTTAAACTTGCCAAGTTTGAGGACTTTGTTCTAGAAAGAGTGCAGAGAAGAGCCACAAAGAGGATTAGGGGATTGGAGGCTAAAACACATGAAGAACGGTTGCAGGAACTGGGTAGGTCTACTCTAATGAAAAGAAGGACCAGGGGAGACATGATAGTATGTCTTCCAATATCTCAGGGGCTGCCCCAAAGAAGAAGGAGTCAAGCTATTCTCCAAAGCCCCTGAGGGCAAGACAAGAAGCAATGGATGGAACGTCATCCAGGAGAGAAGCAACCTAGAACTAAGGAGAAATTTACTGACAGTTGTAATAATTAGCCAGAGGAACTCCTTGCCACCAGAAGTTGTGGGGTGCTCCATCACTGGAGGATTTTAATCAGAGATGGGACAACCATTTGTCTGACATAGTAGGGGGTCTTCTGCTTGAGAAGGTGGGCTGGACGAGAAGACCTCCAAGGCCCCTCCCTACTCTCTTGTTCTTTTCTTCTTAACATGACAGGTGTACTCGGCAGCACAGCCGGCAGCGTGCTGTTGTGATGGCCTGGGACCGGTGCCTTGTGGTGGCTGGAAACGACCAGCAAAGCATTCAGTATCCTTACTCAAAACTCAAAAACAGCCCTGAAGAACCTGGTTGACTTTGCAACCAGGCAGAACGCTGGGCCTCCATGGTTTGAACCAGTCTACCTTAGGATGTGGCTGGAGGTTCTCCAAACTTCTGGGGTCTCTTGAGGTTGGGGCTCATAGCAATGATCAGCAGAGATCATCTTTCTCCCATCGATTTCCGAAGACCAGCTCCGCGATTCCTTAACGCTTAACCCTCAGATACCCTCTGAGTGAGGATTCTCACCTGGTCCCAGAGCTGGACGGGGTGCGCATTTTCTCTCGCTCCACCCACGAATTCCTCCATGAGATCCCAGGTGGGTTTACCTGGCTCGACCATGAACAAAGAGGACTAGGAACTTTCCCTGATGTTTAAAATCAGGGGTCTCCAACCTTGTCAGCTTTGAGCCTGGAGGCTGGGGAATTCTGGGAGTTGAAGTCCTCCCGGCTTAAAGTTGACAAGGTTGGAGGCCCCTGGTTTAAATAGTCCAAATGTGAACGAAGAGGACTAGAAAGTTTCCCCGACGTTTAAATAGTTGATAGTCAAGACTTCCCACCCCATTTTCTCTTTCAGAGGCCAGTGAGGAGATCTTCAAAATCGCCTCCATGTCGCCCGGGGCCTTGCTGCTCGAAGCTCAGAAAGAATATGAGGTAAAATAAGGCGACTCGGAAGGGCTGGAATGAAAAATGCTAGAAGAATCTCTCTTGTCCTCGATGTATGACTGCAATGAATAGAATGAAATGGAATAGAATATAGAATATAGAATATAGAATAGAATAGAATATAGAACAGAATAGAATATAGAATAGAATATAGAATATAGAATAGAATATAAAATAAAATAGAATAGAATATAGAATAGAATAGAATAGAATAGAATAGAATAGAATAGAATAGAATAGAATATAGAATATAAAATAGAATAGAATATAAAATAGAATAGAATAGAATATAGAATAGAATATAGAATAGAATAAAATATAGAATAGAATACAGAATAGAATATAGAATAGAATAGAATATAGAATAGAATAGAATAAAATAGAATAGAATATAGAATAGAATAGAATAGAATAGAATAGAATATAGAATAGAATAGAATAGAAAATAGAATAGAATAGAAAATAGAATAGAATAGAATAGAATAATATAGAATAGAATATAGAATAGAATATAGAATAGAATAGTATAGTATAGAATAGAATATAGAATAGAATATAGAATAGAAATACAAATAGAAATAGATGGTGAATATGATAGAATAGGATCGGATAGAATAATGAATAGAATAGAAATAGAATAGAATTGAATAGAATTCTTTATTAGTCAAGTGTGATTGGACACACAAGGAATTTGTCTTGGTGCAAATGCTCTCAGTGTACATAAAAGAAAAGACATTCGTCAAGAGTCAAGAATCATAAGGTACAACACTTAATAATAGCCATAGGTTATAAATAAGCCATCAAATCATACTAGGAAACAGTCAATATAAATTGTAAGGATACAAGCCACAAAGTTACATACAGTCACAAATGGGAGGGGCTGGGTGATAAGGAGTGATGAGAAGATTAATAATAATAGTAGTGCAGACTTTGTAAATAGTTGGACAGTGATGAGGGAATTGTTTGTTTAGCAGAGTGATGGCGTTCGGGGAAAACTCTCCTTGTGTCTAGTTGTTCTGGTGTGCCGTGCTCTATAGCGTCGTTTTGAGGGAAGGAGTTGAAACAGTTTATGTCCGGGATGTGAGGAGTCTGTAGATATTTTCACAGCTCTCTTTTGGACTCGTGCAGTCAGTATACAGGTCCTCAATTGAAGGCAGGTGGGTAGTAATTGTTCTTTCTGCAGTCCTAATTCCTCTGTGGAGTCTGTGTCTGTCCTGTTGGGTTGCAGAACCAACCCAGACAGTGATAGAGGTGCAGACGACAGACTCAATAATTCCTCTGTAGAATTGGATCAGCAGCTCCTTTTGGGCAGTTTGAGCTTTCTGAGTTGGTGCAGAAAGAACCTTCTTTGTTGTGCTTTCCTGAAACGTTTTTGATGTTAGGTGTCCATTTTAGGTCTTGTGATATGATAGAACCTAGAAATCTGAAGGTCTCTACTGTTGATACTGTGTTGTCTAGTATTGTAAGAGGTGGTTGTATGGGAGGGTTTCTCCTAAAGTCTACCACCAATTCTACGGTTTTCAGTGGAGCCCAGAATCGAGGTTGCTAAGTGTGAAATTGGTTGAATGAGTTTCGCCCCATTTTACGACTTTTCTAGCCATGCTCGTTTAGCGAATCCCTGCTGTTGTTAAGTGAGTCGCCCGGTCGTTAAGCGAATCGGGCTTCCCCCATTGACTTGGCTGGTCAGAAGGTTGCAAAAAGGGATCATGTAGAAAGAAATGTTGGATCAGGTGACCCCCCCCCGGACACTGCGACCGTCATAAACACAAATCATTTGCCAAGCGTCCACTTGTAAATTGCATCACCCTGGGATGGTACGGCAGTCGTAAGTGTGGAAAACGGCTGTAAGTCCCTTTTTTTTTTTGGGTGCCGTTGTAATGTTGAGCGGTCACTAAGTGAACCGTCGTAAGTCGAGGACTGCCTGGACACTCCTGGTGCTAACGCTGCAGAGATATTCACAAAAGGGATCCCTCAACGAGATGCAATCGTTTGGAAAGACCCCAGTTCACGGGGTGGGATTCAGATTTTTTTAACAACCGGTTCTGTGGGCGTGGCTAGGTGGGCGTGGCCATGTGACTGGGTGGGCGTGGCTTATTTTTTTTTTTTTTGCCCCCTGGGGTGAAGCAGTAAGACAAGGAGGGGGATCCTGGCACAGCTGATCATCAGAACAGCTGATCATCAGGCGGGGGAAAAAAGAAAGAAATACCTTAAGGAGTGACTGGGCAGGGGAGAAGGCAGTCAGCAATGTCGGGCATGCACGCAATGTTGAGCATGCACGATAAGGAGCTTATAGTGGACTATATAGAAGGAACAGGTCAGACATCCAGCCCTTGCTTATCAATGGAGACCGAGGGGAGCAAGTGGCCAGTTTGAAGTTTCTGGGTGTTACCCTAAAAGAGGACCTGACCTGGGGGGCTCACATTGCAACCCTGGTCAAAAGGGCCCAGTAGAGATTATACTACCTGAGACTTCTCAGAAAACAACAACTGGATGGAAAACTGCTGGTGACCTTCTACCGCTGCACCATAGAGAGTATCTTAACTCACTGCACCTCTGTAGGGTTTGCCAATTGCACTGTGGCAGATAGGACAGCGCTCCAGAGGGTGAACGTCATTGCCCCTCAGAGGATCATGGGTTGCCCTCTCCCCTCTTTGGAAGAGCTTTATAGCTCCCGCTGCCTTAAGAAAGTTCAAAACATCCTCAAAGATCCATCTCATCCTGGGAACCCCTTTTTTGAACTATTACCATCAGGCAGCCGGTACAGAATAATAAAAACAAGCACAGATAGGCTGAAAAACAGCTTCTATCCCAGGGAGGCAGCTCTTTTGAATTCTACTGTATGGTGCAGTGTTGGTGTGGTGTCAGGGTTTTGGGGGTTCAATGTGTGGAGTGTGAAGGATGTGTCTTTGTGTTGATTTTCATGGTTATGATGTGCACTGAAGATGGTGTTTGATTTCGTTGTACGAGGTGCAATGACAATAAAGTAAACTAAACTAAACTAATCTAAACTAAACTAAACTAAACTAATCAGGGCCAGCTAGGGCCACGATTTGCCGGTTCTCCGAACTGCGCAGAATCATAACAACTGGTTCTATAGAACCAGTCCAAACTGGTCCACCCCCGCCCCATTTATAATTTCAAGGAAAAGTTTCATTATGAAGCATCAGTCCAAGATGCTTAAACAGGTAGTCCTCAACTGACAACAGTTCATTTTGTGACTGTTCGAACTTACAACGTTACTGAAAAAAGAGACTTATGACCGTTTTTCACACTTAACGACCGTTGCAATATTTCCCCCGTGGTCAAAATTCAGCCGCTTGGCTAACCGACTCACATTGATGACGGTTGCAGTGTCTCCAGCAATCCCCTTTGGCGGCCTTCCAATAAGCAAAGTCAACGGAGACGCCTGGTTTGTTTAACGACCGCGTTCCTAACTTAAGGATGGTAGTGATTCACTTAACAACGGTGGCAAGGAAGCTTGTAAAAATGGAGGAAAATTCACTTATCGCCTGTCTCGCGTAGCCGCCGAAAAATGTTGGACTCAGTTGTAGTCAATTCTGTCCAGGGGGTCCTTGAATTATGACCACAGTTGAGCGCCAAATTTAAACTGGTTGTGTTCGTCTCTCCTGTCAGAAAGAAAGCCAGAAGGCGGACGAATACCTGCGTGAAATCAAGGACCAGAAACTGCTTTCGGAGGCTGTCGAGCAATGCATTAAAGCAGCCAGCTATGAACATTCCCCGCCCATCCAGAAAGCTCTGCTCCAGGTAAGAGGGGGACAGGTAAATCCCTGCAGAGGATCTGGGCCCAGCCCTTTGCTCAGGTGGGAGAACAGAGGGAGGGTTGGGATAGACCAGTGGTTAGCAAGCTTGACAAGTTGAAGATGGGTGGACTTCAACTCTCAGAATTCCCCAGTCAGCATGCTTTAAAATACATGGACGTCACTCCCAGAATCCCCCAGCTAGCATGCTTTAAGATGGGTGGATTTCCACTCCCAGAATTCCCCAGCCAACGTGGTTTAAGATGGGTGGACTTCAACTCCCAGAATTCCCCAGCTAGCATGCTTTAAGATGGGTGGACTTCACTCCCAGAATCCCCCAGCCAGCATGCTTTAAGATGGGTGGATTCCACTCCCAGAATCCTCCAACCAACAAGCTTTAAGATGGGTGGACTTCAACTCCCAGAATCCCCCAGCCAGCATGCTTTAAGATGGGTGGACTTCACTCCCAGAATTCCCCAGCTAGCATGCTTTAAGATGGGTGGACTTCTACTTCCAGAATTCCCCAGCCATCATAGTTTAAGATGGGTGGACTTCCACTTCCAGAATTCCCCAGCCAGAAAGCTTTAAGATGGGTGAACTTTAACTCCCAGAATCCTCCAACCAACAAGCTTTAAGATGGGTGGACTTCAACTCCCAGAATCC